CCATCCATCCATCCATCCATCATCTAGAGTAGACTACATGAGTATTGCATATTACAGTATATACACTAACATAGTACAGTATACTATATATATATATAATATAGAGAGCATTAGTACATAGTATAGTTATGTTGTAGTATACTAACTACTTATATACAATCCTGAAGGATGAGAAGGTGACGTGCTCTTCAGCAACTGATTTGTTTTCACATATCGGATATCTAAGAAACATCCCCGGGAAAAAAAGAAAAAGTGAACGGGGGGGGGGGACGCGAAATTCCATTCGCCTTCAATGACGTCCTGTAATAATTTCACACACGCGCGGGGGGGGGGGAACGCGCGTTTCGCCGCCCATTCATTTCCTGGCGTTGGGCTCGTCGTTCATAGGACGAAACGACCCCGCGGTTCGTTTTCCTCCGGGCGGGCAGCCTCGAAAGCCGCTTGGTTAACTTTCCAAATGTCCAAGAAATTTATTTGCTTTTTATTAAAAAAAAATTTGCCATCTCCCCGTCGGGGAATCGAACCCCGGTCTCCCGCGTGACAGGCGGGGATACTTACCACTATACTAACGAGGAGGCCGCTGCAACGTCCGCTTCTCCTGCCTCTTTTGAAGACACGGGAAGAGGAAGCCAATGAATAGGATTTTTCACTATCATTATTATTCAAATCTCTTCTAGAGATATTTTGAGCAACAGCAAGGAAGCCCCTTTTTGCAGTCTTCTTCGCGCTTTCCCCCATCCAAGCTTCCAACCCTGCATTTCCCATCCAAATATTGAGTTTCCTTAATTGTTTGGGTCTGCCTTCAAATAAAGATCACAGTGAGGGCTCCTTGGTGGTCTCTGAGCTGGGTGGTTTTCTTGCAGACGTTTCATGACCCAACTAGGGAACATCATCAATGCTAGCAGGAGGAGGAGGAGGAGGAGGAGGAGAAGAAGAAGAAGAAGAAGAAGAAGAAGAAGAAGAAGAAGAAGAAAAGAAGAAGAAGAAGAAGAAGAAGAAGAAGAAGAAGAAGAAGAAGAAGAAGAAGAAGAAGAAGAACAACAACAACAACAACAACAACAACAACAACAACAACAACAACAACAACAACAACAACAACAACAACAACAACAACAACAACTGTAGGGTCCTTGGTGCTCTCTGAGTTTGATGGTTTTCTTGCAGACATTTCATGACCCAACTAGGGAACATCATCAGTGCTAGAAAGGAATGGGATTTGTGGAGAAGAGGAGGAAGAGGAGGACCGCCCCCACCCACCCAGACAGGCAAGACACCAGAATATATAAACTGACAGCAAACAGCACTCCTTACTAGCACTGATGATGTTACCTAGTTGGGTCATGAAACGTCTGCAAGAAAACCACCCAGCTCAAAGAGCACCAAGGACACCATAGCCACCTCTCCTCCTCCTCTTCCTCCTCCTCCTCCTCCTCCTCCTCCTCCTCCTCCACAAACCCACCGCCCTTCTAGCACTGATGATGTTCCCTAGTTGGGTCATGAAACGTCTGCAAGAAAACCACCAAACTCAGACAGCACCAAGGAGTTCTCATTTTAACCCCGAGCTACAAATATTTTCCTTCAAAGATCACAGTTTTTCTCCTTGCGTGACGAGAAAGGAAACCTCCAGAGTTATTAGGCCCTCTGTCTGGTCAAAATGCCACGAGATCTGTTGTCTTGCATAGTCCCAGTAAACGAATTGCTTAACACTGGATTTTTTTTTAAAAAAAGATTGAATTAGTTTATTATTTTTCAGGGCACCTCAGTTAGACTAATCCTCAAAGTTGGAAGCCGTCTGTTATGTAAGTAACTGGAAAGAAGTCCTTAAACTAGAGTAAAATCAACAGAACCTTTTGGGTTGTTTTTTTTTAAAGTCCCTTTTTACAACGTTGCCGAGTTAAAACCAGAAGTTAAATCCAATTTTTAAGCTGTTGTGAAAACTCTGGAGCACTTGATTTCTTCAGGAAAAGGATCTGCAAATTCTCTGGGGAAAACAGTTTGGGAATTATTTGTAATCCTATAAAGCAGGAGTGTCCAACTTTGGCTACTTTAAGAGCTGTGGACTTCATCTCCCAGAATTCCCCAGCCACCATTTTAAAATGGCCACGGTTGGACACCACTGAGGTAAAGTGTTCATATCAATTAGGCCTCTGCCATGTACAAGCAGCTGCCTGAAGAGCTTGATAGAAAAAGAGTTGAATTATAAAATACACGGAAAATAATCCTGAGGGAGGGCAAAAGTTTATATCTTTGTTTGTTTCAAACTGGGTGAGGAGACAGGATGAAAACTATATTTTTTTTCCTTATTTCTACAAGCTGATGCAGTTACACATCCTTCCTCAGTTTGATTTATGGGCTTCGGAGTACTATTATTCCCTCTGGAGCCATGGTTATCGTTACTTCAGATTTCTGCTCTGTGTCCTTGGGCTGTGAGAAACGGTATTATTTATTTATTCGTGGGAGATTTATATTTATTTATTAAATTTATTTGCTGCCTATCTCGCCGCAAGGCAACTCTCCCACCAGCTCACAGTAGCAGAAAATATTTGTATTGTAATATTTGGCCTACATTCGCCCCTTTGTATTATTATCCTTTTCATCTTCGTTACTACCTGCTCTTATTGGCATTATAGGATTAGGCTTTCCTGCCTGAGCAGGGGGTTGGACTAGATGACCTCCAAGGTCCCTTCCAATATTATTATTATCATTTTTATCATTTTTATCATTTTTATTATTATTATTATTATTATTATTATTATTATTATTATTGTTGTTGTTGTTGTTGTTGTTGTTTGTTATTGTTGTTGTTGTTGTTGTTGTTATTATTATTATTATTATTATTATTATTATTATTATTATTATTATTATTATTATTATTATTATTATTATTATTATTATTATTATTATTATTATGTTGCTTTGCAGGTACTTTGAGAGCTTCTGCACCAGAGACAAATTCCTTGTGCGTCTTATTACACTTGGCTAAATAAATTCTAATCTGTTTTAACTTTCTAATTTCCTGTGGGAAAATGATGGATGTGAGCTGTCATATCAAGCCTCTGGACTAAGTGGATTTTTGAAATGACGTTTATCCAAGATTCTTTCACCTATGTCCAGTTTATCATTCTCTCCTTATTCTAGTCATGTTAGATTAATCCTCGGCAGCTGCTTCAATGCTTTATGCTGCTTCATGCACCACGCATGTTCTCTAGTTAGGCCAAGGAGGATTTCAAGCACGCTCTGATGTCATATCATGTCATAATACGAAATTTCATTTTGATGTATGCCGATTGGTGTACATTCAAAGTGACAATAAAGTTGTTGTTGATAATGCAGGGCAAATTCTTCAAAGCTTCGAAACCCCAAGTATTAGAAGTTCACTCTAAAGCAGGGGTCTTCAAACTTGGCCCTTTTATGACTTGTGGACTTCAACTCCCAGAATTCCTCAGCCAGGCACCTTGGCTGAGGAATTCTGGGAATTGAGGTCCACAAGTCTTAAAGTTACCAAGTTTGAAGACTCCTGCCTTTGAAAGTGGTTTTATAAGCAGCGAAGTGATTGTGGGATGCCGGATTCGTTTAACGACTGCGTGACTCACATAAACCCTGCAGTGACTTGCTTAACAACCATGGCAAAAAAAAAACAGGTCATAAAAATGTGGCCTGACTCATTAAACAACCGGCTTCCCTAGCAAATGGAAACCCTCATCCCGATTGTAGTCGTAAGTCAAGGACTAACCTGTAGTAAATACTAACTCATTCTTTCAGCCTACAATTGACATTTTGGGACTGGCTTTGAACTACAGGTAATCCTGGACTTAGGACCACAATCGGGCCCAAAATTTCTGTTGCTAAGCAAAGAGAGTTGTTAAATGAATTTGGCTCCATTGCCACGGTTGTTAAGTGAATCACCACAGTTGTTAATAACACGTTTGTTAAGTGACTCCCACTTCCCCATTAACTTTCCTTGTCAGAAGGCTATAAAACAGGATCACGTGAGACACACAGGACCCTGGAACCGTCATAAATATGAAGCAGTTACCAAGTGGCTGAATTTTGATCATGTGACCGTAGGGAGAGGGAGCAGGTGCTGCTGCAACGGTTGTGTGAAAGAGTCCTAAGTCACTTTTTCCAGTTGTACCTTCAAACAGTCACTAAATGGACCGTTGTAAGTCAAGGACTACCTGTATAACTCTAACCTTGATGAATGTTAAGTTAAGGAAGCTTAGCTTAAATCTAAATGTCTGTTTTAAAGACAGCAAATCCCTGTTTTATTAGTAGACTCGACCCCAGGAGTGACACAGATCTTCTTCACGTGTGTTACTTCTGTCTAGATTATTCTGGAAATACGAGCCAGAAATTTCTCCTCCGAGACGCGCACCATTCAGACAATGAAAATCCGGACGCTGAAAACAGCCATCGATCCCACCAGAAACCAGAAGGATCCGCGACAACCGCTTCGGACGGTCTGAATCCAACGCGTGTTTGAAAAAAGACAAACTCGCGAAACTCTTACAAGGGGGCGTGGCGAAGGGCAAAGCGGCTTCCAAAGCGGACCAATCAGAGCGCGACCTCTGCTATAAATAACAGGTGCCGCGCTCCCGGAGTGTTAGTTCGGGTTCGACGGCGGCGGAGAAAGACTCTTTTCGGGATGGCTGAGGTAGCGCCGGCTGCGGTCGCCAAAGCGCCGGCGAAGAAAGCGGCGAGCGCCGCGAAAGTGCAGCAGCGGAAGCCGGGCGGCCCCAGCGTGACGGAGCTGCTGATGCAGGCGGTGGCGGCGTCCAAGGAGCGCGGCGGCATCTCGTTGGCCGCGCTGAAGAAGTCGCTGGCGGCCTCGGGTTACGACGTGGAGAAGAACAACAGCCGCATCAAGTTGGGCCTGAAGAACCTGGTGACCAAGGGGACGGTGCTGCAGACCAAGGGCACCGGCGCCTCGGGCTCCTTCAAGCTCAACAAGAAGCAGGCAGAGCCCAAGGAGAAGGCGGCGGCGACCGCCCGCAAGAGGAAGCAGCAGCAGCCGCCAGCCAGGAAGCCCGCCAAGAAGGCGAGAAAAGTTCCGGGAGCCGCCGGGCCAAAGAAAACCGCCAAAAAGGCGGTCAAAAAACCCGCCTCGGCGGCTAAAAAGCCCAAAGTAACAAAGCCGAAAAGCCCCGTTAAACCTCTGAAGGCAAAGGCAAAAGCTAAGCCGAAGGTCGCCACGAAGGCCAAGGCCGCCCCTAAAAAGAAGTGAAAGGCTCGGCCCGCTGGCTTCGCTTCAACCCAACGGCTCTTTTAAGAGCCACTCAAATGGTCTCGAAAAAGAGTTGAGAGGTTGCGGACCGGTGTGAAAACTTGTCCCTCTTCCTTTCCTTTTTTTGGGGGAAAGTATCGGAGAGCAGAAGGTAGCGTGGCCGAGCGGTCTAAGGCGCTGGATTAAGGCTCCAGTCTCTTCGGAGGCGTGGGTTCGAATCCCACCGCTGCCAGGAATATTTTTTTTTCCCTCCCCCGCGCGCAGATCTTCGCTTAGCTTTTTTTTTTGTACGCTTAATAGGACTTTATATAGGCTTTTGCAGAATAAAACTGCGCTGCGTTGCTACCGTATTTTTTAAACTTGAAAAGAAAGGCGCAACTTCTATATCTGTCCGAAGGAATCGGATCACGCGTGTATGAAGCGTCAAAAGTCTTCCCAACTTCCACCCAAAGCAAAATTTAATAAATAGCCCCCACGTACCCAACGCCGACGAGGATGGGATTCGAACCCACGCGTGCAGAGCACAATGGATTAGCAGTCCATCGCCTTAACCACTCGGCCACCTCGTCGCATGCTTGTCTAATTGGACGGTTTTCTCCTGCCCAAGTATACACGTGTAAAAAAACACACTCCCATTTACCTTAGGTCAGAGGTCCCCAACCTTGGCAACTTTTAAGACTTGTGGACTTCAATTCCCAGAATTCCCCAGCCAGCCATGCCTGTTTTTCCCCCTTCCTATCCCTTAAAGCTGGGAGATTGGAGAGGAAGGGATTATAAGAGAGTAAGCGGGGCCACAATGAGTATGCTGGCTGGGAAATTCTGGGAATTGAAGTCCACAGGTCTTAAAGTTGCTAAGGTTGGGGAGCCCTGGCTTAGGTGGTTTAAATCTGCATTAAAATAAAAACTCTTGCGTGTTGTTTCTAGTCCCTATTACTTTTTTTTTCTTCTCCTGATTTTTTTTCCCCACCCAGTATTACTTGGAGCTTAGTTTTAAAGCCAAAAAGCAAGAACGGCCTTGCTCTTTTGCATATTAGTTTCTTAAACTTCGGCCTTTATTCCCCTCTTCTCTGTCCCCTCTGAAAAATCCGCCGTCTTCGCTGATCCGCCTTAAAATAGAACCGGGGAGGCAGAAACCGGAAAAGTAAAATAACTAAAAAGTAAAACATTCAAAAGAATCCTAACATTTCTTCTACTTTCCCAAGCCTGTTTTTAATGTAGCTTGAAAGCTTTCGGAGCTGTCCATCTGCGCATGCGTGCAAAAAGTCTGGCTCTCTTCTGTCTCAGCTACTTCATCCCCTCTAGAAACCATTCAGGGGAACAAAAGAAACTTGTAATGTATAAAGAAGCACATTTCCAATCTTGGGACGTGGAGAAAAGAAATAGAGGTTGACAGATCCTGAAATATTTTTTTTTTTTAAAAAAATCTTATTTGGGAAAATAGTCTTTTCAGACCCAATTAAAAAAAAAAATTCGTTGCATTGGCCGGGAATCGAACCCGGGCCTCCCGCGTGGCAGGCGAGAATTCTACCACTGAACCACCAATGCGCCGATATGAAGACTTCTCTCCGGTCCGCTACTGTAAGCGGGTTTTTGCTGTAAGCTTTTGCTCCCCACAATTTTCTATATTATTCTTTTTCTGCCGGCAGCTTCTTTGCTTACATCCGCCCAATCCTGGCCATTCCCGAGCTCCCAGCTTGCCTGCAATTGCAGCCTTTCTCAAACTGGGAGCACTTGAAGAAGGGTGAACTTCAACTCCCAGAATTCACCAGCCCCGCCCCCCCAAAAAAATATCCCCCCAGCAAAGCGAGCTGGGGAATTCTGGGAGTTGAAGTCCATCCCTCTTTAAAGTGCCCAAACTCGAGAAAAAGCTGCCTGAAAGTGACCCGGGGCTACTTGCAATGCTTGCAGCTGGTGGGGAAAAAAAAGACCCTTTCTCGTGTCTTCGTGCAAAATAGACCCTTCCCTAATATATATATGTGTATATATATAAATAAATTAATAAATAAATAAAAGGGAGGTTCCACCGAGATTTGAACTCGGATCGCTGGATTCAAAGTCCAGAGTGCTAACCATTACACCATGGAACCAGCGACGCTTCCGCTCTCTCCTCCGCTTCTCTTGTCCGCCAGTCTGCCTTCCTTTCTCACGTTCCAACTGGCATCCTGGAACACGGGGAAAGAAAGAAGCCGGCAAGGGAGACAGCCGCGCAGACTGGCCCAGAGCTGCACATCGCCCTTTGGGGCTTGATCCCGGCCCCAAAGGAAGCCGGCTGATCCTCAGGGGAGCTGATTAACGGTGGGAGAGGAGACCACCTGGAGATCTCACTCCAATTTATTTTGCTGCTGAAAATAAACAGAGGGAGGAATTTATGGTTGGGGGAAAAAAAGCTGTAATGGTGCAATGGAGACAAGGGACTGCTGGTTCACATGAAAGGGCTATTTTTTAACCTAGATGGGTGTACAGGATAGTCCTGGACTTACAACAGTTTGCTTAGATCTGAGAGGGTGTAGGTCAGGGGTCTTCCAACTTGGCCCTTTGATGACTTGTGGACTTCAACTCCCAGAATTCCTCAGCCAGGCACGCTGGCTGAGGAATTCTGGGAGTTGAAGTCCACAAGTCCTAAAAGGGCCAAGTTTGAAGACACCTGCTTGTGGACTTCAACTCCCAGAATTCCTCAGCCAGGCCTGCCTGGCTGAGGAATTTTGGGAGTTGAAGTCCACAAGTCATCAAAGGGCCAAGTTTGAAGAGCCCTGGTGTAGGTTCTCCTGCTTAAGCGGGGGGGGGGGGGGCTGGACTAGAAGACCTCCCAGGTCCCTTCCAGCTCTATTCTATCCCTTAACCCTAGTGACGGTTCCAAGCTACGACAACACGGGGAAAAAGGGACTTAGGACCGTTTTTTCACACTTACGACCGTGGCAGCCTCCCCACAGTCACGTGATTTACATTCGGATGCTTGACAACTGACTCGCATTTACAACGGCCGCAGGGTCTCCCGGGGTGTGTATCACGTGATCACTTTTCCTGACCTTCTGGATGAGCAAAGTCGATGGAGAAACCGGATTCACTTCACACAACCGTGTTACTCATTTGAACGAGGGGTGGCGATTCCCTTCACGGACGTGGCGAGACAAGTCGTAAAATGAGGCAAAAGTCACTTTGACAAATGTGTGACTCGGCAGCCTCAATTCTGGGCTCGGTTGTGGTCGTAAGTCGAGGACTGCCTGTAGCTAGCCTAAAACAGAGAATATTTTCCATTTTTTTTCTCATTTAAGACGCACGCGTTTCTCGCCTGGCCATCTCCTTGGCATCACTGGGTTTAATTCTTGTTTGGCTTGTTGGGAGTTCCTGGGGCTTAGCTTGGTGTGCAGATTCAACCAGTTGGATTACTTTGGGTTGGCTTCTATTGTCCTCCCCAGGGCTTTTTTTCTCATAGAACGCCCAGAACGGAGTTCCGGCACCTTTTTGGGATGGAACCTTGTAGGGTAGGCAAGGCGGGTTGTATGACATGTGTGAGTTCCAGCACCTTTTTTTTTTTTTTAGAAAAAAAGCACTGGTGGTACAAACAAAGAACTGGGTTGATGCCAGAACTGTGTTGTGTGATTGCAACCAGACCTGGCTATTTAGGAAGGTGTGATTCTTCTGAACCTGACTTCTAGTCATTTCCAAAGCAGCACATTTTAGAAGGATAGGATAGGATAGGATAGGATAGGACAGAACAGAATAGAATGGATTCTATTCTATTCCTTATCTACCCTATTCTCTATTCCATTCCTTCTATTCTATTCCGTTCATTATTCTATTCCATTCTATTCTGTTCTATTCTATTATATTTCTATTCTATTCCTTATCTATTCTATTCTATTTCTATTCTCTATTCCATTCATTATTCTATTCTATTCCATTCCTTCTATTCTATTCTATTCTATTCTATTCCATTCATTATTCTATTCTATTCTATTCTATTCCATTCCTTCTATTCTATTCTATTCCATTCCTTCTATCCTATTCCTTATCTATTGTATTTCTATTCTATTCCTTATCTATTCTATTTCTATTCTCTATTCCATTCATTGTTCTATTCCATTCCATTCCTTCTATTCTATTCTATTAATTCTATTCTATTCCATATTTTATTATTCTATTCTATTCTAATATTATTCTATTCTAATTCTATTCTATTATTTCTATCCTATCCTATCCTATCCTAAACTTTAACATCAAGCCGCTCTCATTAAACACTTTTCAACCTGAGTGGTCTATTTTTTAAAAAAAAAATCAATGAGAAACGTCTGTGCAAGAAAAAGAAAGAAAATCTTTTTTCTTTTTCTTTCACCCAAGAGATATCTGGAGCTGAAGGCAGACACGCGTGGCCTCGCTAGAAACTTGAAAAGGAGGCGCCTCACCCTTGATAACTATTTCAACAGCAGCAGCTCATAAACGGCTCCTTTACACTTAGGCTGCTTCCAAAGAATCACCTCCCCCTTCCATCCAAAACCAATTTTCTGATTTTCTTCCCGCCGAGCACCAGGGGACACCTCAGAAACATGATTCAACATCCCCAGGAAAAGTTTTCATCACAGGTTGAACAGGTTGGTTTTTTTTTGCTCTCTAGCCTGTATTTTCATTCTGGAACATTGAAAAAAAAAAGGGGGGGGGTTCTTTAAGGAGGCCATCCCTACTTAGCAACGTGGCGTTCTCTGAGCTGAGGGCTTTTCTTGCAGATGTTTCATTACCCAACTAGGTAACATCTGGCTGACCAGGCCCTGAGGATGTTACCTAGTTGGGTAATGAAACGTCTGCAAGAACACCCAGCTAAGAGAGCACTAAGGGCCCACACAGTTCTAGGCTGCATTAACAGAGGGATAGAATCAAGATCAGGTGAAGTATTAGTACCACTTTACAAGGCCTTGGTAAGGCCACACTTGGAATACTGCATCCAGCTTTGGTCACCACAATGTAAAAAAGATGCTGAGACTCTAGAAAGAGTACAGAGAAGAGCAACAAAGAGGATCAGGGGACTGGAGGGTAAAGCATACAAGGAACGGTGGCTGGAATTGGGGATGTCTAGTTTAACGAAGAGAAGGACGAGGGGGGACATGATAGTCGTGTTCCAGTATCTCAGGGGTTGCCCCAAAGAAGAGGGAGTCAAGCTCTTCTCCAAAGCGCCTGAAGGCAGGACAAGAAGCAACGGATGGAAACCCACCAAGGAGAGAAGCAACCTAGAACTAAGGAGAAACTTCCTGACAGTGAGAACAATTAACCAGTGGAACCACCTGCCTCCAGAAGCGGTGAATGCTCCAACACTGGAAGTTTTTAAGAAGAGACTGGACAGCCATTTGTCCGAAATGGTATAGGGTTTTTTCTGCCTGAGCAGGGCATTGGACTAGATGACCTCCAAGGTCCCTTCCGTTACTACTACTACTACTACTACTACTACTACTACTACTATTTCAATCCCAAGCTTACAAATATTCCATCTAAATAAACTGTTTTAAGTCCTCGACTTCTAAGTTTGTTTAGTCCCTTTTCTAATAACCACGGCACTCACAAAAGCGCCTTGTGGCAGTTTCGCACACTAATGACCGTTGCGGCACCCGATTAAAATTCAGACGCTTGGCAACGGACTCACAATTACGACAGCCGCAAGGTCCCAGGGGCATGTGATTCCCTTTTGTGACATTCCAAAAGCAGAGCCCATGGGGGGAATCCAGGTTCACTTAACAGCCGGGTTAGTAACTTAACCATCGAAATGTCACTTCACAACTGTGGCAAGGTAGGTCGTAAAATGGGGCAAAAATCCCACTTCGCAGCCGTCTCGCCTAGCAACGGGAATGTTGGGGTCAAGTGTGGTCGTAGGCCGAGGATTTAGCAATGGCCAAAGAAACGTGTCTGACATGTAGACATGGGGCCTTGTTTGGAAGGCAGCTGCCTCCGGGGGAATAATACGCGTCACTCGCAGCGTGATAGGAACGTTTTATTAAAGATGGGAGACGGATCCAAACCAGGGCTCCGATTGCAAAAATCAAATCTGGAGAAGACAACACGGCAACGCGGCTTTGAAGGAGTCGGACAAATGGGGAGTTTAGGAGGATTTTAAAAATAATAATAAATCTGTTCCTTCTAAGGCTGAATTGCAAGTTTCCAGTCTGGAAATCCGTGTCTTCTGTGGGTCTTTCTGGCTGTCCTTCTTTGGATGGACCAAAGGGCAAAACTGGGAAGGAAGGAAAGAAAGCAAGCTGTTCTCCAGGTGAATCCTTGGCTGAGGTAAGGGAAGGGATCTGCACCTCCCTCCCATATTAACACCTTCATGAAAAAGGACAGAAGCACCTTGTAATTATCTCCTCCAAAAACAAATCACCATGAATCGCTTTTCTGAGCTGGAAGAGCAAGCGGGAGGATTCCTGCTTTGAAGAAAGGAAACTGGAACCGCCCTTTTCAAACCAGCAGATGTTCAGGCTGGGCAACACCTGGAGCCTGCCTGGCTGGCAGGCCCTCCATTCTCCAAAAGAGCGTGGAGACAAATCTAGAGGCAGATGCTTGCTCCTCTTCCAATTGTGGAGGACCAAAATGAGGGGAAAAAAAAAAAAAAAGCTTGCAGTTCCACATCAACGTGGCACCATTAGCCATCAATATTCCCTTCTGGATCAGGGATGGGTGGAAGTCAATCCGAGGGTCCCGACCTTTTGGTCCGCAGGATGGAGCAAAAATGAAAAAAGAGCTCTTTCGTCTCCCTCGGAAGAAATTCCACAATGCATCTAAAATCAGAAAGGAACTCTTTTCTGGCCCCTTCCCCCCCCCCAAAAAAACCCCCCTATTTGGGGTCTTCAGAGGGACTTAAAATGGAATAAAAGAACGTGCTTCGCAATAAAAAAAAAAAAAAAGCACGGGATTACAAAAAGAAGTTAAAAATGGACGCTGGCAAGGTGACGCCCCGGGAAGGAACGTCTCTAGTGGACCGTCCTCTCCTTCTGCCTGTGGTAATCTGGAAGGGAAAGGAAAATAGAAATGAAGGCCAGAATCTCAAGAGAGCTCATTTGAGTCCGAATGAAAAACCCGACAGCCTGGACAGAAGTCAGTGTGAACTCCACGGGATGGGGACGAAGACAAAGCCTTTTATCGCAATTGTGACCGGCCAACTGGCACTGGGTGCAGGACTGCCTGGCACACAATCTGTTCTGACAGTTTTCCTAGAATATTCTTAAAGGTGCCAGGTCCTGTAAACCTTCTCGGAGATATAAATGGCGGAGAGATTCCTCTTTTCATCTTAGTTTTGAAGAAGCCTCGGTTCCCCTTCTTGTAAAAAAAGGGGAAACGCTCACACCTAGGAGTGTGGTGAGAAGGTGAACCACACACAGGACTTTTCCACTGAAAAAGGGGGGGGCATTTTCCCCACCCAAGGCCAGCAGTTGTACTTACTGTAAGGGAAGAAACGGACCCTCATGATGATCTCCCGGGCGGTTTTCAAGATCTCTACAGCCTGGGAAAGAGAAGGGGAGGGGAAATGGCGAATCTTTTAACAGCAGCAAATATTATATTGGTCTTGGGCTTGAGGCACCAGGCTAGAAAACCCAGAAATCGCGAGTTTTAAGTTTGACCTTAGCTACGAAAACCAGCTGGGGGTCTTTGGGCAAATGCCCCTCCCTCAGCCCAGCCCACCTCACAGGGTTCTTGCTGTGGGGAAAATGAGGAGGAAGGAGCCTTAGACTCGTCGCCTGGCGTTGTTTGTAAAAATAATAAAAGCGAGACATAAATTAAAGAAATAAACAGGGCTGTCGTGTTGTATATGTTCTGCTTCCTTGGTGGAACTTGGTGGCCCTTTAAGGAGTGCAAAACAAGCTCCCGTCCAGCCATTTAGTGGCTGTACTTCAGCAAGGAATGTGTGATTCGGCATTTCAGCAAGATCAGCCTTCCCTATCTTGTAGATAGGTGGATGGATAGAAAGCCAGACAGAGATAGATAGATAGATAGATAGATAGATAGATAGATAGATAGATAGATAGATAGATAGATAGATAGATAGATAGATAGATAGATAGATAGATGATAGATAGATAGATAGATAGATAGATAGATAGATAGATATAGACAGCCAGATAGATATATAGAGACAGCCAGATATAGATATAGACAGCCAGACAGAAAGACAGCCACAGATAGACAGATAGATAGACAGACAGATAGATAGCTATAGACAGCCAGATATAGATAGATAGATAGATAGATAGATAGATAGATAGATAGATAGATAGATATAGACAGCCAGATAGATATATAGACAGCCAGATATAGATATAGACAGCCAGACAGAAAGACAGCCAGCCAGATAGACAGATAGATAGACAGCCAGATATAGATAGACAGATAGATAGATAGGCAGATAGATAGATATAGACAGCCAGACAGAAAGACAGCCAGCCAGATCGATAGATGATATAGATATAGACAGCCAGATATAGATAAACAGCCAAATAGATAGATAGATAGAGATAGATATAGATAGATAGAGATAGATATAGACAGCCAGATATAGATAGATATAGACAGCCAGACAGAAGGACACCCAGCCAGATAGATATATAGATATAGACAGCCAGATATAGATAGACAGCCAGAGATAGATATACACAGCCAGATATAGACAGCCAGATAGACAGATAGACATAGACATAAACAGACAGCCAGACAGAAAGACAGACAGACAGACAGATAGATAGATAGAGATATAGACAGCCAGATAGCTAGACAGATGGACAGACAGACAGAGATAGACAACATAGACATCCGGCTTTTATTATTTTTATATACAGTATAATGCAAAGTAATTAACTCCCTAATCCTCCTCCTTCCTCCCGTTCTCCACTTTCTACCCTGATTGTATCTGAGGGGGGAGGCTGGGCTGAGAGAGCGTTTGGGACCTCTGTGGGCTGGAGACCCAACGGGCCCTCTCCTCACTCAAACAGCCAAGGCGGGGGGGAAGCACCTCTCACCTTGCTGTGCTCAATGTCTTGGAAGTCCACGTCATTCACGGCCAGGACTTGATCTCCTTCCTGCAGCCCGGCTCGATGGGCGTCAGAATCCGGGATCACCTGGCCCAGGAGAAAGGAGGGATCAGCCACGAGGTAGAGAATTGTCAAGCCGCCTTTTTTTTCCCCTCAGCTTGGGACAAAGTCCCAATGGATCGTAGATTTCAGAGTTCAGAATCTGGGGGGCACGAGGCCAGCCCATGGACATCGTTCCCTTGGCCCAGGAACGTATCTAGACATTTGTCGTATTTTAGGTTTTTTTGGTCATATTTCAGATTCTGTATTTCACATTTTCTCTTTTGACCTCTTGTGTCCTTATCACAATTTGAGCCGAATAGGCCGTACGATAAATAAAATAACACCCAGGGAGATGGGAATCGTGGGGGGGGGGGGAATTATTTGGATTCAGGCAAAATAACGGAAAGGGGATTGAAAAGGCCAAAATGATATCCTGCCTCTTTCTTATTTTAAGACCCAAAAGACCTGCTAAAGAAGTTATGTAGGTTCCAATATATTCCGTTTCCGATGAGTTTACCTCTTACAGTTGCAACTTAACATTTTTAGTTTGAAGGAAGCTGCACAAAAACGGAGCGGCATTTTCTTCTGGGTAAATGTACAGGGAAAAAAACCCAACAACTGACAGGGGTTATCCTAGAAGAGTGGGTCTCACCTGTCTTATTTCTGCACTGCGGTTCTTAAAACAGAAATGGGATTTGACCCAGAGAGGCGATTGGGTGGCTGGCTAGAGAAGACAAAAGATCAGGCCGCAGAATCTGCAACCGGACGTAGGATTGAAAAATCCCAATTCACGTCCTTCTTAAGGAGGAAAGAACCTCGGCCAGGAACCAGAGCGAGACAAATCAATCAATCATCTATCTATCTATCTATCTATCTATCTATCTATCTATCTATCTATCTATCTATCTATCTATCTATCTATCTATCTATCTATCTATCGTTATACACTAGCTGTACCAGGCCACGCGTTGCTGTGGCTCAGTCTGGTAAAAGCGTGTGTTGCTTTTATGTCCAACAGATGGCGCTGTTTTTCAAACAAAGCATGTTTTTACCTGTCACAGGTGTGACATCTATATAATATAGGTATATAAAAACACGCGCATATTCGAATGCAACGTTGTGTCAGAATTTCAAAGCAATCGGTGAAGAACGTTCGGAGATTTAAGATTTTGAACAAACGAACATTTACATTTTTATTTATATAGATATACCTTTGAGATGAAAATACCCAACTGAGAAGCTTTTCCGCCTCGGATGTTAAAGCCCAGCTGGGAAGGAGAAAAAAAAATGGAGACAGTTGGCAACAAATGCAATGGCTTCTTTCAAGTGCTATGAATTTTTGCGGCTTCAACAGGCCCCATTTCAACCCATTTCTCAGCAAGGAAGATCAGGGACCCGCAGTTTTTGCAGCCGGGGTGGAGCAGGACAAATCCCAGGAGGCATTTTTCAGAAGTAAACCCACTTTTACCAAGGAATTGTCGTTGCCAATTCTGCCCTCCTCACAAGACACAATACGGCAGGATTTCAAAGGCTGGAAGCCAACCTTCTATTTAATTTACACCAAATCCCACAGTCGTATGTCCATATTTTTCTTTTTTGCTGGAAACCAGGGTTTATTTCTGGTCAGCCCATTGTGGATAACGGGTTCGCTTCTCGTTCATTTTACGGCTGGCATTTTCACAGCCACCGAAAAAGCTCATGAAAATCAGTCGTGGTCACAACATGACGATCTACTTAAATGTCCAGCGTTCTGGCCTCTGTGTCGGTCATAAGTTGAGGACCGGCTGCAGCAGAAAGAGTGCCGTGATTTTCAGCCCGTTTGAATCCCACTCGCCCCGATTCACACAGCCAAATCTGCTTGCGGCCTTTTTCGGACTCCTTTGACCTCCCTATGAAGGAGCATCAGCTTCCTGCTTCCAAATTCAGCTTTTTTAAGATTGACCGAGGAACTGATCCGGTAATTCTGCAGAATATCTTCCATCCCTCTTGAGAAAAATCAAGATTTTTGTGGAGGAAACTGTCCGTGAAAAGCCAAAGAGCTTTTTGCCCCCGCAGTGAGTGCTACAGTTCCCGTCACTTATGGCTGGGGATGATGTGAGTTGTTGGAGAGTGCCAGCTTAGAAAGGCAGCCAATGAGCTCCCTTTTTTGCCCCCCCCCTTTGAGAATGAGTCAAGTCTCACCTGAGCCCCCGAAGGCTTTTTCAGGATGATGGTTCGAGGCAGGAACTGGGTTAACTCGTTGTTGTAATCCGAATGGTAAATCCTCTAGGGAAAAATCAAAAGGACACGCCAAGCAATAGCATTGTGGATTCCATTTTTTGGAAATATAAAAATCTTTCTAGCATGTACCGCTTCCTGGCTCTATCAGGAGAAAAGCATCATGTATGTCATGTGTGTGTTTCACTTTGAGAGCGGGCAACTAAATTAGATTTTTCAATGTGTGCCGTTGTGCTCACAGTAAAAAAATGACAATAAAGGTTATCTTATCTTATCTAGGATTGGGAGATTTGCTGCAAAAGACCCCCCATCAAATCCAAGCAAGGCAGGAGATCTCCCAAAGGCTACCAGAAACCAGAAGGGGATCTACAGCTACACACCTCGTGAGGGGGGATCCAGGTTGGAGGATTCTCATAAGGAGGGAGAAAGACCACAGGGTAATCATCGTAGGGGATCCGGCTACTGCCTCCCATATCCATGTTGGCACAGTCCAGAGACAGCAAAGCTCACCAACGGGTCCTAGCATGAGAGAGCAGTAAGATTTCCACCCTCTAGTAGTTCCCCCATAATTAATGCTTCCCCACCCACCCCCCACCCCCAAACCGAGATATACAGTAGCCGCTCTATTTACACAAGAGAACAAATGCATTTTATCTGGTTTTGGTCCCACTTAGAAACCACTTCTGGACCTTGTGCTCAAGAAGAGAACAAGCATGGAATTCTGACTCTGGGATTTACTGATTAGATAGGTTTGTGGTTACAGAAACAGTGAGCGCATGCTAAGCAGGTAAAAGTAAAAAAGTTGAGGTTGTATTTTATTATTATATTATTATTTTAGGCTGAAAATAGTTGGAAGTTAATGCTTTTCTTTTTTTCTGGTTACTCCACAACTCTTTCCCTTTTTTTTTTTTTACCCTGTTCGCTATTATCTTTGTTTTCATTTGTATTCTATATTATGATTTCAATATATGTATGTGTATTTCAATAAAAATGATTGAAATTCAATATTATACAATATATATATAATATATATACAATATACATATATTGCTTTTGCCTTTCAGCCCCACTCTAGGAGCTTTTACAGGCAGACGCTACTACGACAAACTATTTCTGTGTTAAATTTAGATTTAAATTTAATCTAAATTTAACACAGAAATATATTATACACACACACATATAACAATATGTATATTACTATATGTATATAACATAATTTATATATACACATACACACACACACACATACATATATACACACACCGGTATACGTTGTATTATTTATTTATATTATACATACATACATACACAGCATATACTGATATATATTTACATATCAATTATATTACATATGTATAGTAATATACATATATATGTTTTCTGAGGTTTTCGCGGGTGTTTGTATGTAGGTCTTTAGTTATTCGGGTTTTCTCCCGCATAGAATTAGAAGTGTCTTGGCGACGTTTCGACGAAGTCACATTCGTCATCTTCAGGCTGGTGTCTTCAGCTTCGTGCTTCTGGGAGTAGTGTGTGTGATCGCAGCTGTTTCTTCCTTTTAACTGCCAGAAGCCAGTCCACAGCTGCATCATTAGCCACTTTAAACCCCTCCAATCCATACATGAAGCAAACTGACACCCACCATAAATATGTGGCACGACCACGAACACGAAGCCAAACAACAGCAATGAAGCTCACCACCTCAAATTCCCCTGCAACTCAGACTAACCTGAGCACAACAAAGCCCCCACCCAAACAGAGCACAGCCAACCCCCCATCAAATCAGAGCACAGCCAAGCTCCTTAATCAGAACACACCTCCACCCAATCAGAACACAGCCAAGCTCCCACCCAATCAGCTCAAACCCCACTGGCAGTTAAAAGGAAGAAACAGCTGCGATCGCACACTACTCCTAGAAGCACGAAGCTGAAGACACCAGCCTGAAGATGACGAATGTGACTTCGTCGAAACGTCGCCAAGGTACTTTTGATTCTATGCGGGAGAAAGCCCGAATAACTAAAGACCTACATACATATATATTATATATATATATATATATATACATACATATTGTTATATATATATATACATATTTGTATAATATTGAATTTCGATAATTTTTATTGAAATATACATATATATATATATATATTGAAATCATAATATTGCAATTTTATTGGTATATGCATATTTATACACACACACACACACGTAAAAGGGAGCGAGAGCCTCCCTGTCCCTAAAGCCCTTGCCGTCGTAAAACGAGGACAAGGAAGGAACTGAAGAAAAGAGCGAGGAGGGCAGCCCTTCCAGCTCCAAAGGCCTGGCCAGCCTCTCCCCTCCTCTCCCTCCCCAGAAAGGAAGCCCTCCTGGAGAATCTCTTCGACCCCCCCGCAGCCCTGAGTCTTCCTAGGCCCGACCTGGCTCAGCCTCAAGTCTCCGGGAGTCCCGCAGGCCACCACCGTCGCACTCCTTCCGCGGAAAGCGCCGCCTCTCTCGGGCCTGCCTTCCAGGGACGGGACCGACGCCCGCCACGAACCGGCCTCGCCCTCCTCCGGTCTCCCCGCAGCTCAGCGCCGGGAACTGGCGGCCTTTCCCCGCCGGCCTCAGCAGCTGGTCTGAGGGAATCCGGGAGGGCCCGCCTCCCTCTTCTCCTTCCGCCAATCCCAACGGGCCCTTCCTCACCCGCAAAGCCAATCAGACTAGGAAGGAAAGGCATCTCCTTCCGCTATTGGGCCGGGCGTTCTTGCCCCGACGGTAGAGACGGCACTCGGATTGGTTGAAAGCGCGAGGGCGGGTCCCTCCGCCATATGAGGGGATTACCATGGCAACGCTGCCCGGCGGCGGGTGACGTAAGAGCGGGCGCGGCGGCGGCGGCCAGAGCGTCTTTTCGATAATGACAAAGGCCAGCTTCATCCCGCCCACGTGACATAGCTGAAATGGGCGGGGTTGCTTTGACACGGACCTCCTCCGTCGGGACTTACCATAGAGTTCCGAGGGGGTAGAGCAAACGCCCAAGAAGGAGTCGGCAAAATGGCGGGCGCCGTTGACTTCCCTCAGGGCGCAGAAAGGGCCATCCCCCCCACCGAGAATCCCCCCCTCCGCAATGCCTTTCGGAAGCCCTTTTAGGCCCCAACCGCTACATTTACACTGCCTGGGCCGTTTTTCTGCCTAGGAAAACACACACATACACAAACAAACACGCTCCAACCCGGGCTTAACGGCGCATGCGCCTCTGGGCGGCGACGTCCCGACGTCCGGGCCGACGTGACCCCGCCCACCCGGGTTGGCGCCACGTTTAAACGGGGTGGGAGGACGCGAAGGAGGACCGGCCATCGGCCAGCAACGGTCGGCGGGCAAAGCGAGCAGGCGAGACGCTTCTTCCAGCCGGAGGCTTCGGAAACCTGCCGGAGGGAAGAAGAGCCGCCTCCCCTGGGGGGGTTCCCATCGTTCCCCGCCATTTTTTGGGGGGCGGGGGCTGTGGTGTTTTTTTTTTCCCCCGTCGAACAACAACCCTGCGAGGTAGGCCTGGGCTGCCAGCCCGGAGGGGGGTGCCTTTGAGATCGAGCCGGGGCGGTCCTTGCCTGCTATGCCCAGAGGCAGCCCCGGAGGCTTCTCTTCCAAGGGATTCCTGGGATATTCTCTCCTCCCCTGCTGCCTCTGGCTTATTTCCACTACCTTTCCTGGGTTTTTCAAATTTAGGAGAATAGGAGCCGTTCCTAGCAAGGCCGCCTTTTGCAATTGACTAATGGCGAATTTGTCAATGCTGATGATGGTGTCCAAGTAGTGCTCCAGTTGTTTTGGGATTGCACCCAAGGCGCCTATTACTATTGGTGCCATCCTTGCTTTTATTATTATTATTATTATTAATAATAATAATAATAATAATAATAATAATATTTTATTATTATTAATACAATAATAATAATATTAATATTACTAATAATAATAATTGATCATCGCACAGTCAGCCAGATGTTCAGACTGGATATGGCATTTTTGTCTACCTGTCGAGTCCTTCCCAAGGACCTGGGATGGGCAGATATGGATGTTTGATGGTATTACGGATCTCGTCGAAGGATGGAAGCCGTTCCTAGCAAGGCCGCCTTTTGCAATTGACTGATGGCGAATTTGTCAATGCCGATGATGGTGTTCAAGTGGTGCTCCAGTTGTTTTGGGATTGCACCCAAGGCGCCTATGACTATTGGTGCCACCCTTGCTATTATTATTATTAATAATAATAATAATAATAGATCATCATACAGTCAGCCAGATGTTCAGACTGGATTTGGCATTTTGTCTACCTATCGAGTCCTTACCAACGACCTGGGATAGGCAGATCTGGATGTTTGATGGTATTACAGATCTCGTCAGAGGATGGAAGTGGTTCCTAGTAAGGCCATCTTTTGCAATTGACTAATGGTGAACTTGTGAATGCCAATGGTGTTCAAGTGGTGTTTTGGGATTGCACCCAAGGCGCCTATTAACTATTGGTTCTACCCTTGCTTGCCTTTGCCACAGTCTTTCTATTTCTATGTGTAGGTCTTTGTATTTTGTGTTCTTCTCCAGTTCTTTCTCGTCTATTCTGCTGTCTCCAGGCACTGCCACGTCCACTATCCAGACTTTTTTTGTCTTTCTTATTGACAATTGTTAAGTCCGGGGTGTTATATGCAGTTTGTGACTTTAAACAGCAGTCAGCAGATTATTATTATTATTATTATTATTATTATTATTATTATTATTATTATTATTATTATTATTATTATTATTATTATTTTATTATATTATTATTATATTATTATTATTATTATTATTATTATGGATCATCGCACAGTCAGCCAGATGTTCAGACTGGATTTGGCATTTTGTCTACCTATCGAGTCCTTACCAAGGACCTGGGATAGGCAGATGTGGATGTTTGATGTTATTACAGATATTATTATTATTTTATTATTTTATTTTATTTTATTATTTTATTTTGCTTCTTGCAACTGTCAATCTTGAGTTTTCACTTGGGTCCTTTTCCGCTATCCCCAACCTTTTTGGCACCGGGGTTCCCTGGAGAGAGGTTTTTCCACGGACCTGAGGGGGTGTGATTTTTTGTGCTGCCTGCATCCCGCGGATGGGGCTTTGCTTGTTTGTGCGGACCGGTTGCTGACATGCCACAGAACCCCCTGCTCTAAGGCATAACACTGATTTGTAGGAGTTTTCCGCTAAGGAAAACTCTTTTCCGGGCGTACATCTGCGACCGACAGAGAGTTATAGCTGTGCAGTTGGTGGAGCTTGGCTGATTTCAAGAAGCTACATGGGACCATATTTGGTTAGCATTTGGGTGGGACGCCATGAAGAAATCCAAAGGGGTCGGTTAAACCGGGAAATTTCCCAACCTCCTCGAAGGCAAAATCAAGCAACCTCTGTCATTTTGCCAAGAGATCCATATGACTGTGTCTGTCAAATCGCAAGGAGTTGAGCTCAGTTCAAAGGGGCCTTTGATAGTAATAAATTCCTAGCGTTAGCAATGGCTCAAGGCAAATTCTCAGTCCTCCAGGTAAGTTGTCTGGCAGTTGACTCATTACAAATGGACTTCTTTTCTTGTTGGTGCAATTTCTTTCTACAGCTCAGACTGAGGAAGCAAAACGTTTCGAATCCAGTTCGAAGTCCAGTTGCCATGACAACTGTAAGGAACAGTTGCTGGAATTGGGTATGTCTAGTTTAATGAAGAGAAGGACGAGGGGGGCCGTGATAGCCGTGTTCCAGTATTATTATAATATAATTATAATTATTATTATATTATATTGTATTGTATTGTATTATAATAATACAATACCTACAAATAGAAATAGAAAGACTGTGGCAAAGGCAAGCAAGGGTGGCACCAATAGTAATAGGCGACTTGGGTGCAATCCCAAAACAACTGGAGCACCACTTGGACACCATCATCGGCATTGACAAATTCTCCATTAGTCAATTGCAAAAGGCGGCCTTCCTAGGAACCGCTTCCATCCTGCGACGAGATCTGTAATACCATCAAACATCCACATCTGCCTATCCCAGGTCCTTGGAAAGGACTCGATAGGTAGACAAAATGCCAAACCCAGTCTGAACATAAAGTTGGAAGGGACCTTGGAGGTCATCTAGTCCAACCCCCTGCTCAGGCAGGAAACCCTATATACCATTTTGGAGAAATGGCTGTCCAGTCTCTTCTTAAAAACTTCCAGTGTTGGAGCATTCACCGCTTCTGGAGGCAGGTAGTTCCACTGGTTAATTGTTCTGTCAGGAATTTCTCCTTGGTTCCAGGTTGCTTCTCTCCTTGACGAGTTTCCATCCGTTGCTTCTTGTCCTGCCTTCAGGCGCTTTGGAGAATAGCTTGACTCCCTCTTTTTTGGGGCAGCCCCTGAGATATTGGAACACTGCTGTCATGTCCCCCCCTGGTCCTTCATTAAAGTAGACATCCCCAATTCCAGCAACCGTTCCTTATATGTTTATAATTGATCGTCACCAACCTATACGTGGATGCTGATGTTTGGAAAGTGCTGCTTGCTGGGGGGGAAAAAAGGCTACGCTTGCTTTTATGCGTCATAACATTTGCGATTTCTTTCAGGAAGATAAGAATTAGAAAATGCCTAAAGAAGAAGACCGGGTAATCCCGGTGAAGGTGGCACTGCGATGCCGCCCGCTCGTTCCCAAAGAGACCTCGGAAGGTTGCCAGATGTGTTTGTCTTTCGTCCCTGGAGAGCCACAGGTGAGGAAAGATTTGCAGCTGGCAGGTGCTCTTGCACTTTGACTTCTGACATTGTATAGCTCTTCCGGGAATGTCCTGCTATAGGTAGTCCTTGACTTACAGCCGTTTGTTTAGTGACCTTTCAGAGTTAACAATGTCAGTGAAGAAAATTGCTTAGGACCATTTTTCACCCTTCTGACCGTCCCCGTGGTCAGTTGAACAAAATCTGGACGCTTGGCAACTGACCCGCATTTATGATGGTGGCAGGATCCCAAGCAAAAGGGGGAAACCCAGATTCGCTTAATGACTGAATGAGTCGCTTAACAATGGTGGCGAGAATGGCCGTAAAATGGGGGCAAAGCTCAGCCGAACATCTGTCTTGCTTAGCGACGGATATTTTGGGCTCGGGTTGCGGTCGTAAGTCGAGGACTACCTGGAGCCAGAAAGAGAGCGAGTCTCCCCACCCAGCATGCTTTAAGTTGGGGGGGAGGCTTCCACTCCCAAGCGGACTGGGGAATTCTGGGAGTTGAAGTCCTCACTGTCAGCGCTGCTAACATTGGAGGAGATGGGCAATCTGGGAGAAGGAGGCCTTCCTAATTAGGTGGGGCCTTGCAACAGCTTGGGGTGGTGCAGAAGCCAGAAGAACAGCAGCTGGTGGGAGGACGTCTACTAATGGGGCCGCTAAAGCTGCGCTGGGTCGCTCTGGCAGGATCGACAGCTGAGATTGGGAGAGGCTGGATTCGATCAAAATCCCCCCCCCCAAAAGGTGAGATGACAGGATTGTATGGTTACTGTTCTTCTCTTTCTGCTCCTTTTTCTGCAGGTGATTGTAGGCAAGGACAAATCCTTTACCTATGACTACGTCTTTGACCCGTCGACTGAGCAGGAGGAAGTCTTCAGTACCTCCATTGCCCCTCTTGTAAGGGGTATTTTCTCTGGTAAGAGCCTCGAAAGCTGGGCGTTCAGAGGGCATTGCCGTAAAAGTCACAATCCCAGAGACACGCTTCGTCTTTCACGTTTCCAAAAGAGCATGTACAGATAGTCCTTGACTTAAAACCAGTGATGGGATTCAGCCAGTTCGCAATGGTCCTGTCAGAACCAGTAGCTCAATTTTGCTGAGTTCAGAGAACCGGCTGGATGCATACTGCTTCCAGAAGACCAGTCTAGGCCTCAAGAGGCCTGGAGGAGGCCTCCCAGGCCTAAAACGGCTCACCGGAAATGCGTGGATGCCACTTCCAGAAGTCCATTCTAGGCCTCGGAGGTCTGGAGGCCTCCCAGGCTTAGAACAGCCCTCCAGAAGTGCGTGGATGCCATTTCCAGAAGTCCGTTCTAGCCCTTGGAGGCCTGGAGGAGGCCTCTCAGGCCTGGAATAGCCTGCCAGAAGTGCGTGGATGCCACTTCCAAAGTCCGTTCTAGGCCTCGGAGGCCTGGAGGAGCCCCCACCCGGGCCTAGAACAGCCCTCCAGAAGTGCGTGGATGCCACTTCCGGAAGTCTGTTCTAGGCCTCGGAGGCCTGGAGGAGCCCCCCCCCTCGTACCTAGAACAGCCCTCCATAAGTGTGTGTGTCCTCGGAGTCACCCGAGTGGTGCAAATGGGTGTGGAGCCTTTTTGGCTGCAGGATGTTTTCTGCCTTGGGTCCCTTCCCGGTTGAAGACAGGCGCAGGCTGTTGGGGATGAGTACAATTGCCCCACTCGGGTGGCCCTGAGGACACAGGTCAACCTCCAAGTGGCCTCAACGGCTCTCTAAAAGGATGCAAATGACCAGCTGTCTGCAAGGCGTATAAATCCTTCCCTTCCCCACCATCCAGTGGGAGCTGAAGCTTCTGGGATGGGAAGCGAAACGTCTTCAAAGCATAATAAGAAAGTTCCATGAGGACACAGATAAACCTCCAGGTGGCCTCAACGGCTCTCTAAAAGGATGCAAATGACCAGCTGTCTTCAAGGAGTACAAATCCTTCCACTCTCCACCATCCAGAGCTGAGGAAGCTTCTGGGATTGGAAGCAAAACATCTTCAAAGAAAAAACAAGAAAGTCCAGTTGCCTCGTGGAAAAAGCACCTTTGGGACAACCCTGACCTGGAATGTCTGAGAATCTCCACAGACATCAGGAATTTGCTACTCTCTAAGCTGATCATGCTACTGGGGGCAAAAAGCAGTTATGGTCAGTGTTATGCTCAGTGGTGGAAGGAAACCAGGCCACAAAAAAAAACTGAGGTGGCTGGACACCCTCAAAGCCAATACCAGCCAGGGCGTAAACCAATCAGAAAAAAGGCGTACAAGGTTGGGAAAATGTGCAGAGTGGGTCACTTTTCTTAGGTATCTCAGGTGTGCTGCGAGAACTGCCATAAGGAGCTGCTTTAAGGGCTACGCCGTTGACTCGTCTACTTCGGTTTTGTGCTTGTCGCTCCGCAGGCTACAACGCCACGGTTTTGGCCTACGGGCAGACGGGCTCCGGGAAGACCTACTCCATGGGCGGGGCCTACACCGCCGATCAAGAGAACGACCCCGCGGTTGGAGCCATTCCCCGCGTCATCATGCTGCTCTTCCAAGAACTGAAACAAAAAACCGAGTGGCACTTCGCCTTGAAAGTCTCCTATCTGGAGGTGAGTTGACATTCGGAGCCAAAGGACGCAGATCAGCTTATTTGGGGCGGGGGGTTTGAAATCCAAACCGGGCTGTAATTATTAGGACCCCCCCCTGATGGTCTTTGAAGGGTTTGGGCATTGGAACGGTCAAGAAGAATCTGGTTGATGGGCTATCTGGGTGGGCTCCTGAACAACGAATCGGTTTACCGATAGAAGAGAATATTTGTCGCTCGGTTGAACTGGGGGGTCCTTGGTGGTCCCTGAGCTTGGCTGTTTTCTTGCAGACGTCTCATGACCCAACTAGGGAACATCATCAGTGTGGGAGGAGGATTGTGGGGTCCTTGGTGCTCTCTGAGCTTGGCTGTTTTCTTGCAGATGTCTCATGACCCAACTAGGGAACATCATCAGTGTTAGAAGGGAGTGTGGTAGGAGGAGGAGGATTGTGGGGTCCTTGGTGGTCCCTGAGCTTGGCTATTTTCTTGCAGACGTCTCATGACCCAACTAGGGAACATCATCAGTGTTAGAAGGGAGTGTGGGAGGAGGATTGTGGGGTCCTTGGTGTTCTCTGAGCTTGGCTAGGGAACATCATCCGTGCTAGAGGGGAGTAGGGTTTGCGGAGTGCGAGGTCCTTGATGCTCTTCTCAGCTGGTTGTCTTTTTGCAGACATTTCATGACCCAACTAAGCAACATCATCAGCGCTAGAAGGGAGTGGGGTCCGCTCTCCGTTTATATACCAGTGGCTTGCTCTGTCAGTGTTAATGGGAGTGTTCTTGGTGGTTCCCCGATTAGGCTGCTGTTTCCTGTTAGCTTGTTTGCCTGAGGTGGTGGTTCCTTGACTGGGGTGTTGTTTACTGCTTTAATTTAACCATCCCTTCATAGCCCAATAAAATGATAAACCGAAGCCTTGCTAACAACATATAATTAAATCAAGTAAGAGTAGTATAAGGGGAATATACTCTCCAGATTTTGCTGATAGGGTAGCAAGGAAAGCTGGCTGATAAATGACCAGCACTGTCCATTGGCCAACAAAATACCAGTCAGCAGTTTCCAGTCAATAAATATATTTGAAAAAAAAACAAAAATAAAAACATTTTCCTGAACGTTGAAAAGGTGATTATTTTAAGCAAGTAGCCAGCTATCTGTTTGGTCAACATTTGGCTTATGTTTCCAAGCCAAAACAGTTCCACAAACTCGGTGTTCACACTTGAAAACAGATTCTGCAGTCAGCTAATGTAAGGCAAGGCCAAAGCCTTCATTTATTGCAGGGGTGGGGAACTATGGACTTCAACTCCCAGAATTCTGGAATTCCAGAATTCTGGGAGTTGAAGTCCACGGGTCATTGAAGCATGACTGGCTTAGGAATTCTGGGACTTGAAGTCCACCGGTCATTAAATCATGGCTGGCTCAGGAACTCTGGGAATTGAAGCCCACCGGTCATTAAAGCAGGGCTAGCTCAGAAATTCTAGGAGTTGCACAGGTCATTGAAGCATGGCTGGCTCAGGAATTCTGGGAGTTGAAGTCCACGGGTCATTGAAGCATGCCTTGCTGAGGAATTCTGGGAGTTGAAGTCCACGGGTCATTGAAGCAGGGCTGGCTCAGAAATTCTAGGAGTTGCACAGGTCATTAAAGCAGGGCTGGCTCAGGAATTCTGGGAGTTGAAGTCCACGGGTCATTGAAACATGCCTTGCTGAGGAATTCTGGGAGTGGAAGTCCACGGGTCATTGAAGCATGGCTGGCTCAGGAATTCTGGGAGTTGAAGTCCACAGGTCATTAAAACAGCTGGCTCAGGAACTCTGGGAATTGAAGCCCACCGGTCATTAAAGCAGGGCTGGCTCAGAAATTCTGGGAGTGGAAGTCCACGGGTCATTGAAGCATGGCTGGCTCAGGAATTCTGGGACTTGAAGTCCACCGGTCATTAAATCATGGCTGGCTCAGGAACTCTGGGAATTGAAGCCCACCGGTCATTAAAGCAGGGCTGGCTCAGGAATTCTGGGAGTGGAAGTCCCCGGGTCATTGAAGCATGGCTGGCTCAGGAATTCTGGGAGTGGAAGTCCACCGGTCATTGAAGCATGGCTGGCTCAGGAATTCTGGGAGTGGAAGTCCACAGAAGGGGCCATAGTTCCCCATCCCTGATTTATTAGCTGCTGTATTCCGCTTGACTCTCTTCTACTTCCTTCAGATTTACAACGAAGATATCTTGGACCTGTTGGCAACAGGCAAGGAACGGACTTCTCAGATCAGCATCCGCGAGGACCCCAAGGGAGGCATTAAGGTAAAATTCTTTCTTAATACTTCACTGATTTTAAGGGAGGAACATTGAGTATCTAGTACGAAGGAGAAATTTCCTGACAGGGAGACCAATTAATCCGTGGAACAACTTGCCTCCAGAAGTCGGGGGTGCTCCATCCCTGGAGAGTCTCAAGAAAAGATTGGATAATCATTTGTCTGGGATGGTATGAGGCCAGGAGTCTTCAAACTTGGCCCTTTGATGACTTGTGGACTTCAACTCCCAGAATTCCTCAGTCAGGGTGCCTGGCTGAGGAATTCTGGGAGTTGAAGTCCACAAGCAGGGCTCTTCAAACTTGGCCCTTTTATGACTTGTGGACTTCAATTCCCAGAATTCCTCAGTCAGGGTGCCTGGTTGAGGAATTCTGGGAGTTGAAGTCCACAACCTGGGGTCTTTAAACTTGGCCCTTTCATGA